ATTTTATCTTTTTTTGATCACCATTTCACATAGGCAAGTGAGAAAGTCCTAAATCTGCATGGATTTAAATTAGATTACGATTATAATTCTGACACTTTCAAAATCCCATGCCACTATGACACTGCAAAAGAAATATGTCACATAGATATCTCTTCTAAACCAGATATTAATTATTTGTGACTTGGGGAAGTTTTCCATTTGTTAAAAATAAATAAATAAATAAATGATCAGTACCTTAAGTGAAGTCATTCATTACATAAAAAACAGTATAAAGAATATAAAGAATACTCCTGGAGTAGTTGCAAACATTTACCTTTAAGCATCTAGCTTTGGTAGTAGACATCAGTTCAGGGAAGGAACCTATCTCTTTATCAGCTAAACAGGTGAATTAGGTTGTAAATTGTAGTCTTCTGAATGACTGTTAGACAGATGATGTGAATGACTCATCTGATCTTTACTTACACTGAAGGTAAAAATTACATAAAAATATCCAAAGGGATTTCACATCTGGATGCAGCCTGTCTTCCTACTCTCCCCTAAGCTGTTGTAGGGTCTCTCTCCTTTGCCTTCAAAATAGGGCTTTCGCTAACAGGTATGAATTCAGCCTTAATTAGCACCACGAGGGGGAAGTAATTTTAAGGAGCCACAGACAAGTTTTTAATTTCTAAACTTATTTACTTCCATAAGCAAACAAGGGATAATTATTCTTCCCTACCAGATAAGAAAGAAAAACCAATCTGATCTTCAACAGCTTGTTTGTAAGTTTACCTCAATGAGGACGTGTTTACAATGTCAGCTTTTACTGCTATTGTGGACTCATATGTCAGACTAACCACTCTCAAATGTTCCATCCAGACTACAACAGTCACAACAAACTTTGAACAACCAAGTTGTGGCAGCTAATAAGGGATGATAAACTGGCTCTCATGAGGCAGCCTGCAAAATCTACATCCTCCACCCCACTACTCTTCAACATATGTGTGTCTGTATCTGAAAATACAATCTCCTTAGCAAACACACTGTATGTGTGAGCACAGTTTCACAGGTTTTGGGGATGAAGAATACCTATTAAGTCATCTAGTGTACTGTACTGCCAATTCAGGATAGTTACCTACAGTGCATTTTCCATTTCTTTGTACAATCCATAACAACTGCCCCATACAATTTTGGCACATAACTATATTTTAGGTTAAAGAGATCTTTAGCAAGCTGCTCCAAAGAATGTAAAAACTATTTCAAATACCACAGGAATCAACTGATACCCCAAGGTGGTATACACAGATGTAGCAGTATACTTCTCCAACATGGATGTGATATACAAAAAAAAAAAAAAAAAAATTATAGCTTAACATTCTTTCTCTGCTTTCTCGGATACATTCTCTTTGTGTATTAAAGTAACAAAAATTACTAATTCCATACTATTATAGACAAGTGTGAAATGCAAATGCATCAAGAATGTTATTTACGATTATTCATGTAAACTATAGTATCTACAAATAAATGTGAATTTTCTTAGCAAGGACACAGAACATGAAGCAGCTTGTCCCACAAGCTGCAAAAAATTCACCACTGTGAATTCCTTAAGATGCTTTTAACAACCACATTCCAGGTTGGGTATACCCATCATATACCTAAACCTCACAGACTTTTCAGCCAGTAATTATTTATAGACTGCATGGATAAAATTTTTAAGTAAGGGCGCAGGACATAACTCAACTGAATCTATGATGTATTCAGAGGAAACATGGCAAATTGCTTTGTAGACATTGTACTCTTCATCTTTTATAGAAATTAGTGTTATATCCAGGCCGGATGGAAAACACTGGCAAAGCACTGCACTGGAAATTATTGGCCGAGATGGACATAAATGACTGTTGGCAATTAACATCATCCTGTAGGTATGTTTCACTAAAATTGCTCAAATATAATTAAGTTTCTGTATACAAGCATTCATATACCTCTAACAAAAGGCATACAGATTTTCCAAGAGTACTAAATTTATTCTTAGGAAACTGTGTCCTCATTGGATTAAAAAAATTCCAATAATAGGCAGCTGCATGAATTGATAACCATTTTATAGCTCACAAAAGATAACAATGCATTTTGGAAGTTTTGGGTTGGTTTTTTTTTTAACTAAAGAGTTAACTGCATTATTTAAGACTAAGCTAAAGATGCAGCATTCAAACACAATCAAGCACATTTTATGCATAGCTTTCTGTACCCTCTCTTTTTGTTACGTATCAGATGATAAAAACATTGGTTTAAGAATAGTAATCTTCTACTTATTCCCAACAATTTAATGGACTTTTTTTCACAATGGTTATTAGTAATAGAATGGGGTAGGCGAGAAGTAGGGAACTTTAAAGTAGTATTAAGTGTCCTACTGTCAAAATTGGAAATGACTGTTCCCTTTCCTTTATGCCTGCATTTTTAAACAAAAACGTAAGATTAACTACCTCTCTCAGTTTGACTGCAGGTAGCACATCTAACAAAAGAAATGCAATACAGTTCAACCAAAAGCTCCCCTCCCTTCACTCACCCATCTCCATCACCATCCTGCTAACCCCTACCGAGTCCATGTGGCAATTTATACACATATACATTGATTGATTGATGCTTGGCTTTGCGAGTGAAGATTTGGGAAAGGCTTTACCCATGCTTACTATAAGCATGATGACTAAGGGCAATGTGGGATAGGCAAATCTGGTTGAAAAAGGCTCCTTGGGCATTCAGGATGTCATCTCCCAGGACAATCTCGAGTGACCGATGTCTTGAGCCACCCACATGCAAGGTTGGATCTGCAGCTCCCAGTGCACCTTGTCACCTGCCGTTTTGTCCCTCACCTGCTGCTACAGGGCTTTGCAAGGATGAGTAAACCCCTCCAGCCAGCACAGTGGACTTTTTAGCTGAGGCACAGCATGCAGGGAACTGGCCCCACCCTTTACACCTGAGGTTTAACTGCCACGGCCTAACTACCTAGGACGGTGACAGCAAAGTCCTCAGGTCATAGGTTTTGTAAGAGTGTCCATCTCTTAGATGGAAGACCATAGAAGGCTAGACAAGCTCCATCTGCCCAGGTTTGAAGATAGGAGTTTATCTTCTCCTATGAGGATGACTTGGCTTCGCTAACGAAGATTTGGAAACGGCTTTACCCAAGCATTCTGAACAAGACTGTCATCTCCTGGGTCAATCTCAAGCGACCAATGACACAACAGCACAACATCAAATGCCTAGGCAGGATTCTGACTTAGAGGCATTCAGTCACAAGCCCACAGATGGTAGCCTCGTGCCAGTGGCTCCTCAGCCAAGCGCACGCACCAGGGGTCTGAACCTGCGGTTCCTCTCGTACTGAGCAGGATTACTGTTGCAACAACACATCATCAGTAGGGTAAAACTAACCTGTCTCACGACAGTGCGCACACACACGCACACAGGCACACGGTTCCCAAAATATGAAAAGATAAAATTTTCATACTGATTAAACCGAAGACATAAAGACAAAATACAAATAGTCAGCAAGAAAAGTAAGTACTGGTAACAGATAAAACACTGAATTTAAGTCACATTTAAGTTGCAGGGTACTTTCTGTAGGCTTCCTCTGCAGTAAATGTACATTTAGCTGAATCTCAGCCCACTGGATGTACAGAGCCCAGGAAGTTGAATTTCCTAATTTAATACTGAATGATACACATAATAAGTGCTTTCACAGAGAATTTGCAAGATGTTTGAAACATATGCTATTATACACGTGAAAGATATTTGTAATTCTGACAAAGGCTTTGGCAGTTTTATTTGTAGGCACTAGTTGGGGGGGGAAGGGGAGGTATATTTTCACCCAAGAAATTACATCTTTTCTAAGAACACTCTTTAGACATCCAAAACTAAAAGCATGCATAGCAATCAGAACACTGAAGGCTGAGCATTGATTTTTAAGGAGGGAGAAAGAAATAAAAAACAAGAATACAAACAAGGAAGATGACCTTAAATTACTTTCTTCACTAGAAAAGCTTTAACACCAAATCACAACATGAAATAACCAAAAGTATCTACAAATAAAGATTGTACTGGTTTCTTTCTTGCTTTAAAAGGACCATTTTCTTTGCAGCCAAGAAACCAAAATGGAACCACATACCCGGCTGTAATTTAATGCAATTCCAAGAAGGAAGCAATTTTAGCATTAGCTTCCAAAAGATTTGAGGTAAATAAAAAAAGCTCATTTCAAAAGTACGTTTTTGCATTTGAAAATAATCTTACTTAAATTTTAATATTTTTTTTTATTTATGTGCATATAGAGAGAAGAAAGAAGAAACAAGCACAGCAGAAATGCTTTGGGTATTTGTAATTTTAAAAGGAAAGCATACTTCCTAAATTAGGAATTAAGAATAAAGCTATACTACATGGAATATAGCATCTTAATACTGAACTGCAGCTCCAATGTGCAGGTATACCCAAAACATAAAATTATAGAGTGGTTTTGGTTTGAAGGGACATCAAAGCTCATCCAGTTCCAACCCCCTCCCACGGGCAGGGACACCTTCCACTAGATCAGGCTGCTCCAACCCCCGTCCAACCTGGCCTTGAACACTGCCAGGGATGGGGCAGCCACAGCTTCTCTGGGCAACCTGTGCCAGGCCCTCACCACCCTCACAGGAAGGAACTTCTGCCTAAAAGCTCATCTCAATCTCCCCTCTTTCAGGTTAAAGCCATTCCCCCTCAGCCTATTACTACAGTAATCCAAAACTTACATAGAGAAATAATATTCTTATGCAGTCACATTTAAGAAAGTAACACAGAAATAGTTATATTGGTACCAGCTTATACTGGTACTAGGAAACCTCAAACTTTTTTCTAGGTTGGCCCATGGCAGAGCTCACAATATCCAGTCAGAAATACATATTGCAGGTCTGCCAATTTCAAATAACCTAATAAAATACAGAAATGTACCAAAAAGGTCATTCTCATAGTTTAACATTCAAATTGAAACATTTAACTATACTTACAGAGCCATCCTTCAGATTTCTTTCATAGGAGAAGTGACACTCCATATTTTCATCATCCCTTGAAACAGCAAAGTTGTATCTGCCAACTGATTCTTCTCCAGCTATCAATGCTTTCTTCAGTTCTTCAACATACTTTTCTCTGTTCATTTCCATGTCAGCAGCCTCCCTAGAAATTTCAGCTTCGGACACTATCAGAAAGAGACATGTGACAAACACCTTTATGTGTATTTGTGAATACATGTGTATGTACATGTGAGCATGTATGTATACTTATATGAACATACAGACAGACACATACTGTAAGGAATAGACAAAATTAATATCTTAATGGAGACTATTCTTTCCTTGACATACAATGTGCCAGATGCTAATAGAAAGGTAGCAGGAATACTGCTTTTCCCTAAGAGTGTAGTTTTGTTCGTTTTCTGTCTAAAAACGGTTTATTGCTACCAGTCCACAATTCTACTTGCCCAAAGTTATTCTGAATAACACTAACCTGATAACAGAAAGTGAAATGTTTGAACTATGATTTATTGTGCCCTCTGAGGTCTCTTTGAAAGCATGTAATCTGAACCCTGTAAGACAACAACGAAATTGCCTCCTCACACATTCTTCACCCAGTTTTCCTAGTTTATAACTTACAATCTTAAGAAAAAACAAGCTGTCAATTTACAAATGAAACTACACCAAGAGACTCAAGAACCCTTGTTTTACCCTTCACACTCAAACACCACAAAATGAGAGATGTGTCTCCAGTTTGCACTACATAAGGTCTATGAAGAAAATTTTATTCCATCCCTTTGAAGATGAAGAATGACTGAATACAGTACAGAACAGGCCAATAAAGATATACTGTTGTTAAAAGCTATGATAGCCTTTACCATCTGCTTCTGATCATTTATTTCTTCCTAAATCTCAAACTGAAATGGCAGTTTACCAAAACCCACCATCTTTCACTACGAGAAGCAAGAAACAGTTCTTGATTTTACCTCCTGGGCCCCTGCTTATCTTACTTCCTTTTTAGTTTATTCTACATAGTGTTTTCTCAGAACTTTTAAAGATCAAATGTTAATCAGACTAACGATCTCAATGAGTGCAGAGCTTTCTTGCACCGAGAGATGTAAGCAAAGACTCTAAATTAAAGATAGGACGTGTACAACATACTGCAGGCTTTCATGTGTAGCTTACCAATACAGTATTTTAGATTGTATACTTAATTAACAGAAGTGTTTCCTTTTCTTCTGGCCAATCTTCCGAGGAAGACTGCTCTGGATTGTCATTTGCCCCTAACTGCTCTTAGACCTCTCTAGAATTTGAGAGAGCAAGTTATACAAAAACACATTAACTTAGAACATCCTGGGGAGAAAAAAAAAAAAAAAGGAAGAAAAAAGAAAAGAAGAAAAAGACACACATCAAAAGCCAACTCAGAAACCCAGTGAAAAAAAGAGGTACCCCACTTAAAAACCTATTAATACCTGTATTTCTTCTCTATATAAATGCCTTTGCTCATAAGTATTCACTTTTGTAGTCCTCCTCTCTACACAACTCAAAATATAGAAAACATGTAAGTTTTACCAATCTTACACTTAACTGAGAGGGGTTTGTTGTGGTTTTTTTTTTTTTTTTGGTTGGGGTTTTGTGCCCTGTTTTTTGTTTTTGTTTTCGTTTTTTTTAATAATGGGTCACAGTAATAAGTTCAGCCATCTATTCACAAATACATTAACTATGCACACAAAGAAATACTACCTTTCTAGTCACTTTAAGTGATTACATTACCATATGCCTGAAAAAATCTGCTAAGGCAGATCAGTCATGAACACCCCATTCTACTACTCTGTTTATAAGACACAGGAGAACAGCTAAGTGAAAAAGAAGATGCAGGTGGCAGGAGAGAGCATGCTAATGTCACCACTTCAAGGAAACAAAAGGTTGAAACAAAGAGAAGCTACCCTCTTCCGTGAAAATCTCAGCCTGCAGATATGCTCATTTAAAAGGATAAATTAGTGGGTCAGAATCACACTAGTTATCCCCTAGCACAAAGGTTTTTTTCCTAGCAGATTCAAATGTGTTAGGTCCTTCGAAAGCCAGAAAGCAAAGGGATGCAAAGGAACTGAACCGCTTTGAAGTTATAAAGTAAAAATCAAGGAAAAAGAATGGAATTAGGCTCATAAATACCAGCAACTCAGTCTCTGTCACGCAAGGATGCAAAATGTCAGGTGTATGGCAGTCTGAAATCTGTCACAAAGTTCCCTATATTGTTCTTAAGAAAACACTTAAAAATTAGTATTCTCTGCTCTCTTCTTTCAAAGATACAAGAGGAAACCTGTCACACTCACAGTAACCTAACATAAAGTAAAAGGACAAGGTATGACACATAGTATTTTACAAAATCAGCAACACCATACACATTCAGCAGATGGCAGAAACTGCAGAAATGTAATTATATGTCAAAAAGAATAGAGGAGTGCTATGGAACATGCATTACAGTAAATCAGAAATAAAACAACTTCATAATCAGTATTCCCAAGTTGGAAAAGGTGCTTCTATCCTCACCTTTTAAGTTGCATTACCTATATTGCAGAGAAGGAAAAATAAAATGGAGATGGGTGGAATAATGAGGCAAGGGAGAAATGTGGCATATTAAACTGTATGTCCCTACAGATTTGTAAGCTGAAGATGTCTGTTCTTAGTAAAAGCACATCTCACAAATGTGTGTTCTTAGTAAAAGCATATCTCACAAAATGGAAACTATTCTGTTGTCCATTTCAGCAGATGCAATAGGTAATTGTACATAAACGTTTTTGTATGCAGCCTAATACTGATGAGCTTTGGGGCACTGAAATACTCCGAGACTCCTAATAAGCTAATAATTCAAAACATTTATATCTCAGTATCATCATTTGAAGAATGCTACACTTTTCAAACTTATTCGTACAACCCAAAAGGACAAATTTAAGGAGAGCTAAAGTAAGGGCAACAGCAGCCCTCTTCACTAAGCTAGGGTTTGAAAAATGTTTATGAAAAGGAACATGGAACAAGGAAACAGAGAAATCAATAAAGGCATAGCAAAATCCTTTTTTCTCTGGATGGACATCACAACCATCTTTTTTCCTAAGATGTAAACCCCCTTCCTAATAGATGAAGAGAAAGAGGCTAAGACAGTGTACGATGTATATAGCCAGTTAGTACTACTTGTTCAAACAGCACTTCGAGTGCAAAGCCACAGTTTAGCTGCAATGCTGAATCACTGCCTCCATCCCTGTGCACCACACCTATCTGCAGCTGGCATATGGGGCATGAACAAGAGCAAAGCCAGCATGCAGCACTGAAAACATGAGCAGACCTACCAGCAAGCAACTAATAAGTCAACATCAGTTCTGCATTAATCCTCACACATTAAGACTGACAGTTATTTCAGAACAGCACTTCGTAACATCACAAAGAGCAATGCAAAGCAGGAGGCTTTAAACTTACACCTGCCATTGCACATGTTACCAGTTCTTCCCTACCTCACTGTAAGCCAAGTAGTTCAACCCTCAGCTTCAACATAACTAAATGCATCTAAAAGCTGGGTAGGGTTTTGAGCAATCTGATCTAGTGGAAAGGGGTCCCTGCCTATGGCAGGGGACTGAAACTCGATGAGCTTTCAACCCAAACCAGTCTGGGATTCTGTGATCTTAGATGAAGTAGCAGAAATATTTTCCAAGATATTTAAAATTTATTTTAAGCATGAAACGGATGTTACCAGAAAGGCTTAAGACTTTGAGAATTGCCACCTGCATCTTGGTTTTTTTAAACTCAAAGCAGTACTTTTAATGTTCATGTAAAGAATGGAACTTTTGTCAGGGGAAAAAAGCTAAGCCTACATGTCAGTGAAAATATGGGGGTACGGTGCTGCTGAACAGTTATTTTGCAGAGCTAACAATCCACCAAAACCAGCAACAATTGAGTGAGAAAAGCACACAAGAAATTTACCATCAAAACATTTCTATCTTCCTTATAAATTACAACCACTGATTTCCTCATTACCTAGCTTATTTCTTGTACAGGATGCAAGAGAGAGTTGAAAGAAAAGAAGCCACTAGTACATCAGCAATCCACTCAAGTCCCTCAGAGCAGTACAGACAGAAATACGGAATTGCCTGCAGAATGAGGCAAAGAGGGGAGGAACAAAGTAAGTTGGAAAGAACTGCTGAAATAAGTGTTTGTTAGAACAACTACTTCAACACTGAGATAAATCTTTAATGAAAATAAGAAAGCTAAAAAACCAAAGGTACTAACATATGCTGTAATAGAGCACTTGGGTTTTTCTCCAGTGGTGCCTGTACCTGCTGCATGTTCCTCTGCTTTATAGAACTAACAAAACTGATCAATCATTAGCAAAACATGGAATGTATAAATCCACATACCTGTAATTCTTTAACCCAATACCAACTTAATATATTAGACCATATTGAGTATTTGTGTGCTTCTCCTCCCTCCCAAGATTTACTTTTTTTTTTCTCCTTCCTTAAATAGGACTCCTAACATTTTTCATCACATTCGATATACGAAACCCATAAAAGACAACTCCATCAGCAACTCCCATTCACTTCCTGGTAGGTTTTGCCAAACAAAATAATCCACAGCACGAGAAACTCAAAAGGGAATTCCCATAGCAAGAATTTTCTGACCACCACTTTCGCTCATCCCAGATCTTGAATTTAGAGTCTGAGCAGTCTCAAACATGATGTAATAACTTAGAAAAGTATACAAGAACTTGAACTCCTAAAGAAATTATTGAAAGGACTGCAAATTCAATAGGGTTTCCTTAGAAATGGATCACATAAGAAATAGAAGTATTCTCCTTTCTGCTCATGCTAAATGGCTGTGGGTTTCTTTCTTTTCTTTCAATAGACTGAGGTCATCTTGCTTTCACTGTTTCTCTGTTTTGGAAAATGATCATCTGTTCTGCCAGATGCAGGAAGCTAACAAAACAAGAACTGTGTTTATGTATTTTTTTTTATACTCTTCCAGTTAGAGTAACATAGCTTTTACTTAGAAAAATAAGAGATTCAAAGAATCAGCTTGCCATGAATTTTAAACTGGGAATTTTTAAGTTATGTAAGCACAACCAGAAAAGCCTTTAAACGGAAAAACTAGCATGCTCAATTACTTAAGCATTTATCAATGTTAACATCCCTTTTGTTACTTTGAAAATATATAGTTTGACTATCCTATTGTCAAATCAGGAAAGAAAAGCCTTTCATGTCAGACCATAGTGAACCAGCAGGGGAATATATGCGTATGTCTTGTGCAGGAACTCTTAATAAACAGTGTGTTTGAAATGTCAAAAGGAATATGGAAGAGCAGATTTAATGCACAGGTAGACATATTTTAAATTAGTCTTATTTCCTAGGTTTGAAATTAAAAAAAGGTAAACATAGTATTCAAAAGGTTAATAAATGATTAAGCTTCTTTTTATACATAGGAGCTGGATATATACACACATATTTTGTATACACGCATACCTATACACAAAGCTCTGTTAGATATTTAGACGCATAGGTAGGTAGGTAAATAGATGGATAAGGCCTATTTGAAAGCTGGGTTTACATAGGAACATGGCGGCGGGAACAATGTCTGCTCGGCAGGGAGAAAGAAGGAAGGAAGGAACTACATGGTCATATATTCTTATAGAAAATGAAGAGTCAGAAATAGAAAAAAAAGAGTCAGGAAAATGTTTTCACTTACAATATGCTGTGAAATATATTATTCTTTCCTCCCTCTGAAATATTTTTGCCACTAAGAGAAGGACTTCTGATCAAGCATTTGACACATTTCTAAATGAACACACAAATCTTTCTTCTTTTCCCTAAGCATGAATGAAAGAAGTATGCACCTATTAAAAGATCCATTTTCTTACTCAGGTTTTCTTCTGACTTGTGCCAGGGAAAAAAAAATAAATAAATCTAGTCCCTTCTCCTCTAAAATTGACCTGAGTACCAAACACAGCTACCTTTAATTATTAAGATTTTACAAAACTGTTTGAAAACCATATGCAATTAAATGCTTCTTGAACTACAGTTTGCAAATGCAACTTGCATAACTGTTCAAGAATCTGGAGAAGACATGTAAGTTGTACTCCAATATCACTGCACTCCATTAAATTCTTGAGAAAGAACAAAACATTGCATATCCATATGCTAAATGAATTAGTATTAGGTTTGACATAGAGTCTTTCCAAATTTGAAAGACCTCTGAATACTGCCCAGAAGATCATGAACTACACCTCCTCTTTCACCGGGAAGAACTGATGTTCATAAAAATTTTTTGATGCAAGCTGTAGTTCACAGTCTAGAAAATGATTCATGTAACAAAAAATAATATAGAACAGTAATAATAATAAGGAACAGTAATAGCTTAATACAGGCTTGGGTTTTTTTGCTTTACATTATTACCTGCCCCAGTCCATGCACATTGACCATCACTTAGTGTTATACCAAAGCCAGCACCTAAATCTTTTTTCCATGACACTTGTAGAAAATATGTTGCTTCTGGATCAGAAACTGGATGAATTCTGTTCAAAGTCTTCTCCATTGTCCAGATACCTGTTTGGGAAGTAAGATAATCCTTTTATAGCCAATGGCTTATTTTCCAGAGGTCCTTAGCAGTTTTACATAACCAGCTTAGGAAAAAAAAAATAAAAAAAAATCCACAAATATAAGCGTACTTAAAATGTCATTTTACTTTCCTCCACAAATTCAGATTTTCAGAGAATTAAGGTTTCCAAACAGAAAATTGGATTACAATAGGTAAGGTTTAAAAGAACAGTGACAATAAACAAATGTATTTGAATAGTCCCAAATTAGTAAACTAAGAGTCAGGAAGATGAGGAAGAGAAAATTACAATACACAAACACTTCCCCACACCTGTGTTTTCCATTTACAGTTCTCTATCACACAACATACAGCACATGGAATAGAATGGAAAAATCAATTTAATCTGGGAAACTGACAGGTGAAAGCATGCTACTAAGGTTCACTGCAAAGCAGAGGCTGTGGTGGATGCCAGCTACCATACAATTTCTAATTTTTAAATAATTTACTTTAAAAACTGAATGCTGCAGAAACCAAAATTTATGACATTACATCAAATTTTTTGTTCAGTAGCAAAGCAACTTGGCAACTTGTACTTTAGACCTTCTAAAGAATCCTATGCATTTATACATATTCTAATCTGAAAACAATGAATCCTCAGGGTACTCAAGAACTTTGAAACTGCATTTGGCTATTTGCTCCACAGAATAATGGAGAAACAGAAATGAAAATTTTATTAGTGAATGAAGAAGGGCTACATGTTCACTCACACCCTAAATATAGCATGCATTGATAAAAGTAGGAAAACGTAAGTGAGGTGTTTAAACTACATGCACTGAGTACAACAATGCTTGGACAGGCTAGGTATTAAAAGCTCTATCAGGTTTTCCATCTGAAGCATAGCAACAAGTGATCATGATTAGGCTCAGTTTAGGCCTTGAGAGGACTCTGTTCTTCAAGTGGTAGTAGAAGGAAGCTCCTTCTTTGTTCATGGACATTGAGAGCCAAACCTACAGACAGATTTAATGACCGCTGGTCTTCCAAAAAGTTGGAGTCTTAGGAAGAACAGTTTTAAGTGCAGCTGACTGCACTGTGTCTGATCTTTGCTCAGCTCTGTGCCCAATGACATTTTGAATGCCTTTCCCTTCCCCAGACAAATGCACAAAAATACATGAATATAAGACTTGTTTTTCAAGCTTTAAGCTGCATTAACAGCTGGACAACACCTACATTGTCGATAATAAACATTCATTACAGATATCAATAAGGTTAATGAAATATCACATTAACTGCTTCTGATGGCTAAGTAAACCATAATATAGATCACTTTGCACCAACGAATAAGATTTCTAAACCGTAAGAAGAATGTCACATAAAGTGCCTGCTGCAAACTCCAGGCTGAGATTTGGTGAGAAAATGTTACTAGGCACTTCCAGCATTCCTGACTACCCATTAAATTTTCATCACAAAATACTTAAAACACTACCTTTATTTTTCCACCTTACTGCTTAAGTTCTCGTAAGTACCATACATTTTCCCTCTTTAGAATACTTTTCTGACAAGTTTAAGATTCAAAAGCTATGGTAGTAGTATTAAATAAATCATGAACATACAGCTAAGCATCATAAGTTCTCACCAACAACAGTAAAGAGGGACAACTTGACTACTTACATCCATAAACCACCATCACTTATACCGTTACAGATGTCATACTCTACCTTCCTATTCACAGGAAATGTACCAAAAACTAAAAGTTTACTTAAAAGAAATATTGAAAAATTAATCTGAGTCTAAAAGTGTCTTCTAATTCCATCACCAAGCACCTGGCCATTTCTGAAAATCTACAGTGTATTTGTGCACCTGAAAGCCAGAACAGTAAATCTGGGGCACTGAGGCCTGGAATAGTGCCTTTGCAATTAGTGATTAGAGAACTAATGCAATTTTAAAGATTTGTAGTGTATTAACTGCCTGGACGTGAGTTAATAAACAGCACAAGACAGGAAGCACAAGTAATGTGTGTAGTATGTTTAAGCACACAAGCATGTATTCTCCTTTGCTTGCCAGATTCCCTTTTCCTTGTTCTAGAAAAATACTTTCTCTTATGAAACATTTCCACACAAGTCCTTCTCTGAAAGACAGTATTTTTAAAAATACTTTAATTATTCATTTTTATTTAAAGATTGTGAAAACTTGCACACAACCCAGTCAGCATACAAGGTACTGATGCATATGTAGCTCAATAGGGAGGTTTTGCTTGTTGCTCAGAGAAGCTGTGGCTGCCCCATCCATGGCAGTGTTCAAGGCCAGGCTGGACAGGGCTTCAAGCAACCTGGTCTAATGAGAGATACCCCTGCCTGTTGCAGGCCATTGGAACTGCATGAGCTTTAAGGTCCCTTCCAACCTAAATGAGCCTGTGATTCTATGATATACACAAATTGCAGTTACCATAGCATCAAAGCTGCAATAAGTTACTGCTGACATGAGCATCCCCCAAACACTAAGTGCAAATTCTAAAAGTGAAAATAATTTCAATCTGATATGTAAATAACAGTTTAAAAGGCCAATCATTCAACAGGATAATTAATTGTCATAACCACCACACACACGAAATTCCAGCCAACAGTCCTGCATGTGCTTGTCCCACCACAAATATTGGCTTAAAAATTAGTGAATTTTTTAACCGATGTCAGACCATTTCTCTGTTGCGACTATTGTCTCAATCCATTATCACTACAGCTACAAATGAAGCATAGACAGTCACAGTTGCTTAAAGTACTCCGGGCCAGATGTTTGGTCAGAACAAAATAACTGCAGACATACTGACAAAGGGGTTTGTAAAAAACCATGTTGACTTGGGACCTGAGCTTCCACAGAACTGGTCTCGCAAGCCTGTAGAAGCTGGCACTGCTTTTTAAGGTTTTACTAAAATACACATCCCCACCAAGTCAGAATTTCATTATGAAAGGCAGCCAGAAACATAAAGGATGTAGGAGAACTGAAACTTTAAGTTAACTTCCCATTCACATCTTTGGGTGGACAGATAAGGATCCAGCTAAGAACTGTATTAATGCTGAAATTAGTTAAAGCAGCCACCCAGATTTTGGCACTCTCACTATTTAACAGTCCAGACACTGCTGAAGTTTATTTAAAAAAAAAAAAAATCATAAATCATTACATAAAACCACACTATTCTTACAGCTATCCAACAAACTACATTACTGAAATCAGACCCTTACTACTGCAGTTTAAAAAAGCAGCTCTGAGACTATTAGACCGTAGGAGTACCTTTGAGTGCCATTCAATAGTCTCAAACACTATTTCGGTAGCCCTTTCCATTCACTGCCTCAAAAAAATCCAAGCAGTCAAACCTTCTCCCTTAATTACAATAAAGAAAAGCTGCAGAAAAACTTATTGATTAGGGCCATAAGAAACCCAGTGTTTTTCTCCTGAAGGGCACAAGAGGTCACAACACACACCAGCACCTCACTGTGCTAGAGCCAAGGATGCCAGACAAAGCTTGCAGGTGGGAACAGTCAAGTCCCACCCCAAACTGTGAATCAGAGACTTTATTGAGGCCTTCGAACAGTTGGGGATTGAGCTGTTTATCTTTAGCACTTTGTCGGTCTTTGTCTTCTATGATCTGTATTAGGCAATGTTTCTTTCTAAGGAGGAATCAGATGTTGGCTGGCGTGCAATTGACTGGAGTCTGCTCTCTGAACAAACAGTGTACACAGTTGCTTCTGAATAAACAAGACACTTAAAACTAGTTTACAAAGAATTTTATATGTTGTTTTGGATAGCACTAAGCACAGACCAAAAGCCAAATCTTTTAGGCTGCTCCAACACTGCATCATTGATAACAATTTGAACTTCAGTGCTTTGTTTTTTCCATGCAGACTAATGGCCTTTTTTAGAAATTGCTTCAGCTGCAGGTGTTGTAAACTTCAGCAGCTATGCATGGAAGGCTACATATATACTGCTCAGAAAGAGCTACTATGTCTTTCTAATGGAGCAATTAACTTAAGTGCTTTCTTGTTGAGAAAAATAGGGAGCTATCTATAGTGAGCTCAGACGACCAGCACATAAAGCACACTGCTATTAAAGTCTGTAATTTCATCCCTTCTGTCATTGGCTTGACCACAACACACACTACAAACCAGAATCTAATGATCAGAAAAAAGTGCACAGTTGACCTATAGCCAAAGAACGGGTACTATCCAGTAAATGCCATATGCACTTATATAAGTAGATAACTGGAGATTTAAACCAGTTCAGAAAAATTCAGCTTGCTTTTAAAGATTAAACCTAGCTATTACCACATTTTCTAAGAGAAAAAAATACGATAATGTCTGTATTTATGAATATTTCTAGATACATATTTCATGCAAACTGATATTCTCTAATGATAATTTAAAATTCCATTAGCTCCAAGACTTCCAGAGGATGAAAACTAAAGTATCTGACAGAAACCTCAGCAATGACTCTGCTCATCTAAGAAATACTACTGACCTAATAAGGACTTCCTCTTTTTTCTTTTTGAAAGAATATGATCAGGCCAACAAGCATGAAGGAAATGATACAGCAGCCTTCCTATAAAATCTCACAATATGCCTGACATTCCCTTGGACACAATATTTGTTTGTCACCAAAGAAATAGTAAACTCTGTTGCTACTTAAAGATATACCTGAAGACTAAAAAATATAAAATTTCAAAAGAGCTCTATTTCCTAGTGACACTTAGTGGGCCAACACATTTTTATAGTATATGCAACCTAAATCATATCTAGTTGTTTTTTTGTTTAACTCTGTTCTATATTAAAAGCACAAGGACCACAAATTTGTCAATAACATAACTTTGTCTTGCACATAAAGGAAACAAATCAAAAATTGGCACTGGATATGAAGAAGTGACTGAATTACTTTATAACTTTGCACAGACGGGTGAACAGCCCATTTTAAAAACACAGTCCTACAGGACAGCATTTAACCAAGAGACTGACTTCAAGACAGC